GAGTTGTCAGGTATGGGACAGGAAGAAGATCAAAGAACTGATAGAATTTTGATGGGAGGGAGGGGCTGGATATTCAAACAAGAGAATGCCAAGAATTTAGGGGCAAAGTCAAAAGCAGCCCAGAGCAGGGTCAGTGTAAGGAATGCTTTCATTATGTTAGACTTGAGAGTCCATTCCTGGAGTCACGGGAGATAAGGCCAGAATGCCACGTTGAGGCCATATTATGAAAGTTTCGAATACAGGCTACAGTTTGGAGTTTGTACTTTATTTTATAAGCATAAGAGTTTCATGGGAAGCTTTTGAACAAGCATGTGGTGTTATCAAACAACAGGTTAATAATGTCAGTTTAATAAGGTGATTCTCAGTATGATGCACAAACAAATCCCTTGAAGGAAGAAGAGACCAGAGGCAGAGTACTTGGTAAGAGGTTGTGACATTAGTCTAGGAGTGAGTTGGTAAGGGCCAGAAAAAGGTGGAAGTTAGAACTGGACAGACTAAATCTGCGTGTGTGTGTTTTATTTTTATTTTTTTAAAGATTTTATTTATTTATTTGAAAGAGATCACAAGTAGGCAGAGAGGCAGGCAGAGAGAGAGAGGAAGAGAAGCAGGCCTGCTGCTGAGCAGAGAGCCCCATGCGGGGCTCAATCACAGGACTCTGGGATCGTGACCCGAGCTGAAGGCAGAGGCTTAACCCACTGAGCCACCCAGGTGCCCCTGCTTGTGTGTGTTTTAAAAGAGCACTTAGCATATTAATATAAATGAATAATATAATAAAAACTCCAAAGCTAAATTTATTGATAATCTTCATTGTGGTTAAGCAAACATTAGTGGAATACTTATTCAAATGTCCTATATAAGACTGCTATAGGAATTCCTTATCTGCATGATATTATTATGAATCCAGCCCAGTGATTCTCATGTTCCCTATGTAATTTTCCAAGGAAGACTTTCCATTGAGACTTTAGTCCTAGGAAAACTTGGTGTACTTTTGAAGAACTGGAATATTTCCTTTCTTCTTTTCTTCCTATGAAGCTCAGGCAATCTTCCCTGAATGCCTGTAGGCTCCAAACCAGGCTTTCGATTTAACCGCTGCAGCTGTGTTGACTTTAGACTGTAATCTCTGTTTTCTTCTTTGTTGTTAACTCTCCTCCCCTCCCCCTCCCGTGTCATTACTTTTCACTAATCTTATGATCTTGGTTTCACCTCTTCCCTCTGTAAGCTTCTCCAAATGGTTTTTCAAGAGACAAAGGATAAGGACATTGAATTTATGCCAATAGCTCTTCCTCCTCTGTCCCTAATCTCCATCTTCTTCCTGAGCTCCGGCATGGCGTTTCTACATCTTCCTGGTGTTTTGCCCAGCCTCTAAACCAGTGGCACCATCTAGCAACTCTCTTCTGTCCAACTTCCAGCCTTATTCATATGTGATCTTGGAACCAATGGCAGCCGTGCCGCCTGGGAACTTTTCAGAAATGCAAGTTCTCAGGCCTCACTCCAGAGTCCTGAACCAGAAACTCTGGAGAGGGCTGCCCAGCAATCTGTCCTTCCAGGTATTCAGTCACATGCTTTAGTTTGAGAACCTCTGCTCCAGAGAATGTACTCTTTCCTCTCTCTCCCAGTCTAGCTCACGTATTTCTCATCCATTCTGCGTGTTTGCTCTGTTATTAGGGTAAATTCTTTATATAATTTCCAGAATTATTATACATTCTTAAAGGACCTTATCTGACTGGTGCAGCTTATTATTACCCCCACCGCAGTTATGACTGCCCTACCTCATGGTCACTGGCTGGCCCATGCTTGAGCCACTTTTGGAATACCTTGCAATACCAGATCCTGTCAGTGGCCAGGTCTCCCAAACAACAACACAACAACAACAAAACAAAGACCAATACTGCTTTCCTGAGAAGATGGCAGAAGATAGACCAGAAAGAGGCCTACTCCTATCCAATATGTTTATCTTTAATTAAATTGATGTGTGCCATGTGCCTTCAGCAGAGGACTAGTGGGGATTTTCTTATTTGGATAACCTGGACTTCAGAGTTCTTATAGGAAAGACAAGAGGCAACCATTACTGCTTGACACCATTGGAAACAGGCAGAGGCAAGAAGGTCTACGGGCTCCGATATTTGAAGATAGTTCAAGTTAGGGTTGAAATGAAAGATCCTATCGTAGATTGTTACACGGACAAGGATGCAGTTCACAAGTTACACAGGTGTCATCCCATCTGTAACTTTAATGGAAATGTATTGCTAGATGTTTACATTCATGTGTAAAGATAGTGTTCCCCTCCTTTCTTTTTTAAATTAAGAGCACTTTATAAATCCAAATGTAGTGGCAACCTCAGAAATTGGTTTTAAATCCTCAAGTTGCTATGTTAAGGGCAAGAAGTGTCAGGGAGGGAATGAGTTTCATAGAAATCTCTTATTAAATTGAGGCAGAAAATAGATATGGGGTGGTTCTTGAAGTTTTGCATGGTGGCAAAATAAAGAGAAGACAAATATTCTTGCAAAAAAGATGTAAGTTTCTAAGATTTATTCTATCATAATTTGAAAGATGTTGATAATTCATGTAAGGCGGTTTTGTTCTACAGTGGATTAGGATTAAAAAAAAAAATCAAATATTTATTAGGCAATAATACAATACTCAGTTCCTACCAGGAGTTTTGTTTTGTTTTTTTAACCTACTTGAAGAGTCAAGGTTAATTTAACTTTTGGTTATCTGAAGCAATACCCAAACTACACGATAATAGATGGTTAAGTGCTAAATGACATTATCCTTGATGTGCTTCTCTTTGTACATTCTTGGAACTCTCATCTCTTGTGATTTTATCTAATAACTATGTAGGTCAATGTTTCTCAGTTTTGAGTAATGTAGGGAAAGACGGCTGCAAAAATTTCTTACATTCCCTCAGTATGGAATTAAAGTATTTTTATTATTATTTTACCAGAACATGTGCCAATCTAAAAATAGGTACAAACTACTTAACCTTACGATTCTTAAATTATAAAAAACAAATCTACAAAGTAAATACAGAAAAGTTATACAGCCCATAGAATTTAAACTAATTGAGTCATGTGGATGTTTTGTTGAAGCAAAAAAATCACACTCTGAGCCTGAGCTTGGTTCTGCCTAATGTGCAGCTTTCTGTGCTTTCTACAGGTCTTTCTCATTATGACTCCCATGATGATTCACCTCTTACCACTTCTTTACTCAAACCACTGTGAAACTACCCTTTATACACTTCCTGTGGGTTTTCTTTTCTTTTGCTGTGATTTGTACAAACACATCATGTGTGTATTAACTCTGCTTGTGACATTTTCTGTTTGGCAACAATTAATACAGTGCTATCGGTTGTCAACTTGAACTACAAATGAAAAGGTAAGAAATATGGGGTGATTTGGTATAAGGTAGCTGTCCACATGGTCCCAAATGTTCTTATTATTTTTGGAAGAGTGTCAGATGTGAAATCCTCACGAAAAGGTATTTTAAAAATCCTCACTAAAAACGGAGTGCCGCTGTGGTGGATGCAGCTGTGCCTGCCAGTTGCCCTATAAGGAAGCACGTGGTGCCCCAGCCACTAGAAGACACATCCAGTTCTCAGTTCCTTTAGGGTTTGTTCAGCTGCAGAGCTGCCAGGGTTTGCCCTCCACAGGTACCCACATTCAAGGACAGTTGGAGGCAGTGGTATTAAAACTTGGCTATTTCACCCGAACAGGGACAACTCTGATGGGCCACATACGTTCCAGTTTCCCATGGACCTGACTGATGCTTTGTTGGCCTGCCTTGCAGTTCCATCTTGCCCTCCCAGTCCTGGTTTCTGCCTCTCTCCCATTAGTGATGATCCTTAATGAACACCTTGCATGCCAAACTCCATCTCAGTGTCTGCTTCTGAAGAATCCAGCCAACAAGCACTCAAGACCCTCTCTGAGGATCCCAGAGGAGTGAGAATTCCTCTTCTGGGGTCCTGACTCTTCTTGCAAGCTTCTAGTCTGTAAGTTCAGCTTCCGGTTGTATACTCCCATCAGCATTTGAAATTCAGCAGGTCCAAAGCAGACACATAACCGATCTCTTGGGCTTGTGCCTGAGAACTTGTGGTTTTTCCCTCTGCATTATAATTTATTTAATGGCACTGCCACTGTATTCCCACAGGATCAAAACTCGAGAGGTAATTTTGATTTCTCACGTATCTTGCTCTGTACAGTCTATTATTCATGCTTCTTACCATGGGAAGAACTTTACTCACTTCTCCAGGGATTCACTCCCCTCTAAACAAGGGATCTCCTAAAACTGTAATGGAGACTTTTGCTTTGCTCTTGGGATATCTGTTTACTTTAATAGTTTTCAGTTTCCCTTCTCTCCCGTTCCATAAACTTAGAAAGAAACACATTTTTTTTTTCTCATAAAGGATACATACATAAAATTCCAACCCACAATCACCTACTTATTTTGGAGGGCAGTATGTTGGCTCACCCATTGAATAAAAGAGTAATGCTTTAAGAGGATGGCAGCAAGGGCCAAGGGCTTCACTTTTCCTCCTACAATTGAGATTAAGGCAGCATAGTCATTAAAACATTAACTTTGTTTAAAATAAAGCAATAAACCAAAAAAAAATCTTCCATTTTCTTTCCCTCTTTATCTTTTAAACATATATATTTTTAAAGATTTTATTTTATTTATTTTATTTGACAGACAGAGATCACAAGTAGGCGGAGAGGCAGGCAGAGAGAGAGAAGGAAACAGGCTCCCTGCTGAGCAGAAAGCCTGATGCTGGGCTAGATCCCAGGACCTTGGGATCATCACCTGAGCTGAAGGCAGAGGCTGTAACCCACTGAGGCACACAGGCACCCCAATCCTCTTTATCTTTTATATTGGACTAAAGAGTAAAGAAAACCAAGTCTTGGTAAATGCCGAAATAATAATTTTATAATATACAGACTAAAATGTGTGAATGTGATGAGGTTTATAAGTCTTTGAAAACATATATACTTTTGAAAGCAGTCAACTCATTGAAAGATACTGCTGTTTAAAACTGAAAGTTGTGTTGTCAGTTGAAGATGAGAAACTGAGATGTTTGTGAGGGAGAGATTGTCAGGAAAGCAGTAGAACATTTCCTGCCCATGGGTGCAGTCTTGAGGATTTGTGATGGCCATGAGGAGTCCAGTAACCATCACCATAACACCGACAGGAAGCATGACACAGGACATAATCTTATCTGAGTGTGTCCTCGGTTCTTCAGACAGTTTCAGATAGCATGCTGATGGAATGATAAAAATTAGTGGAGCAGCACAGAGCACACCCTGCATATTGAAAACAAGAAATAGCAATATGTTACCAAATGAGCATTCTTTGGACAGTTTTTGAAATACATTTATAAAATGTATTTATCTTTGTACATATTAAAAGTTTAATAGGTTGAATCAACCAAGGGAAAGAAGAATAACCCAAGACTTAGGAATAGGCTTTCCTCGTTCTGATGATATATTTACAAATGAGAATAAAATAATAGTATATCAGACCTAAGGAAAAAATGATCAAAAAATAATAATAAAGAAAATAAAGCAGAAGGTAAGACCAACTTCTGGCAAACTCTTGAAATTTCCCATATTTTCAGCACATCACATTTTCCTATATTCTTATTTCAAATTGCTGAGTATGCTGTTCAAATATGAGTGGTCTATTTGTCATTTATGTACAAGAGGAGACTGACTACTGGGAGGTGTGTAGAGGAGATCATCTTTCCTCTTTCTTGAGTTGGTGTAAAAGTAGGTTCCCCTCTGTATGAGAAAAGAAAACTATCACCCCTGGGGCACTTAACATGAAATGCTTTTCTAAATCCTCTTTCAAGTAAAACTAAACATGTTAATTACCCTAGAAAATTGACAGCAGAACTAAATGACTATGACTCATTCATTCTCCCCTGCATTAGCTTATGGATAAATCCAACCTGAGGGGGCATGTCAGATTGAAAATTATGGGGAGTAGTGTTGTCTATTATAAAAATCCCAGGAGGGGTGCCTGGTGGCTCAGTCAGTTAAGCCTCCACTCTTGATTTAGGCACAGGTTGTGATCTCACAGTCATAAGATGGAGCCCCATGTCAGTCTCTGCACTCAGAGGGAAGAGCGCTTGAGATTCTGCCTTTCCCTCTCTCTCTGCCCCTCCCCCGACTCACACCGTGTTATGTGTTTGTGCTCTCGCTTTCTCTTGCAAATAAATAAATAAATAAATATTTAAAAAAAAAAATACCGAGAGTTATTGACTTCAAGAAAAGATACTTTCCCTTTGAAGAGGCTAAATTTGAGTTATACACTTGGCAAATGAAATAATGTTAAAATTTAATGCATTTTAGGCAATATAGTTTTAAAATTATATTAAATGTTAATTATACATTAAACAAAATATAACATACTATTAAATATATTAAATATAATTGTATAACAAATGACATTCTCTTAGGCCATAAAACACAAGTTTTTAAAAACAGACAATAGCAAATGTGATATCGGTTTAAAATTAAAAGCAAGCCTTCCATAAAATACACGTTTTGCTATATTTGAGAAAGTTATTATGGAAATATGTAAATATACAGAAAAGTAGAAAGAATAATATAATGAAACCCTATATACCTATCACCTAAGATTTAAAAGCTTTCTGACACATTAGTTGGTAGATTTCCCCAAGGAAAAATCACAGAAAACTGATTTTGAAGCTGGAGGATGTAAAAAACAGATTATAACTTGAAATAGTTTTAAAATAAATATTTTCTCAATAGCATCATTTACTAAAATTACTGTGTTATACTCAGTACCATCCTCATACCAGAAATATTACAACTATGATTCCAAAAATATAACTTTTGTAGCTTTTACAAAAATAGCAGAAGTCCAGAGAAATCGCAGCTGATTGGAATACATTATGAAATGACTATTGAGGCACTATCTAAAAACTTGGGGAAGAATAAGAGGGACCACACTTCATGGAAAATATGCCTACAGCTAGAGATAAGAATGGGAAAAGAGGTGCCTAACTGTATTCTAATTTTAAAATATATGGAAAATGTAATTTTGCTATTTCTAATACCTGCATACAAATGAATAACTACAAAGGTACACAGATATAAAGCATTAGTTTTCATATGGCAAGAACTGAATGAATTATGGACTCCTTAAGCTGTCTTGAAATACTCGAAACTGACAATGTTCTTTTAGGAAAAATACTGTAGAACTCCATCTGTGTTTATAATGATTATTATCTTTTGATTTCTTTGAAAAAATTTGAAAACAATGAAAAAAGGGTTAAGATATAAATATACGTATGTGGGTGTGGGGGTGTGTATATGTATAGAGTCTCTTCTCTTCACAGGAACAAACATGTGAGACTAATGCCTCTGAACTTCAGAGTGCTGAAAATGCTATCAGGATGAAAACCGCCACCAGCTGCTGTTAAGAAGCTCTCCTCTGCCAGCATTTTGGGACACTTCCAAACCTAACTTGCTGGGCAGTCCAAAGCAATGGGTGTTCTGTTTATGCTATAATTCTTAAGAGTTGAGAAAGTAGTAATTAGTGGGAAAACTATATGGCTGATGTTTGTACTGGAAGAAGTCCAGTTGAGTATCTTGTCTAGATAGTGGTTACTTTCTTAATATTTGAAAGCACAGTCCTGCTAGAGGTTGTTGTTGGGATCCAAGATCATCAGTAGAATGACACAGCAGTTCCATCTGCTCTTTTTCCTGTAAATTCGTCCTGCTTATTTGATCTGTTTAATATAGCCTTGTGTGAGACTACACCACTGGCTTTGGAATAATTTTTTGGGATTGCTAGGCAGGATGTAAACATCCTAACTTTCATTAAAGGGACCCTAAGATACAGCCTTAATTTAAAGGCAAGCCAGCACTGTCTTTTGATAATAACACTACTGATACCAGGGCATTCTGCAATTTGCTGTAAGCAAATTAACAGTAGGTGTTGAGGGTTTTTACTGGCAATACAAATTGGGAACGTACCTTAATTCTCCTACCAGAATAGAAACGTCTCAAAGGGTGCAAGGCAGCTGAAAACTGAACAAAAGAATGCTTATACCTCTTCTAGGTTTCTACTTGGTAATCAGTTTGGATTCTTATAACTTGAAGAGAAACTCGGGCTCACTCAGGCAGCTTGGACTACGCCTTGCTTACCCTGATGACTGTATCTCTCTCCGTGGGCCCGCGCTGGGTAACTGGCTTGCTTGCTTCCTCCTACGTGAAGCTGTACACACTGCTCACTGGGCTGGTTACTCTGGCTACTGGCCCCAGCTGCTTCGTCTTTTCTCTCTGTACTGCGAGTAAAAAACCCACCGGGCCCAATTACTGTAGATGGCTTTTTTCTCTAATAGCAACATCAGTGCCCAGATACTGGATTCTTAATACCAAGAATGGGACTTCTGTTTATTTTATTTGCTTCTAAAATGAATCCTTTAAAATTGAGGGTGCATTTCCTTTGGAAAATATGTCATTGTTGTCTACTGTTATGAAAACAATGCAATAATAAGGAAGCTACGCTCTAAATGGGGTTTTGCTTTTTATTAACTAATGTAACTCCAAATATTTATCCTATATTATTCTAGTCATAGTAAGTAACAGCATTTCCCCAACTTTGCAAATTGAGAGTCTGATTCTATTACACATCTCATAAGTGAAGATCATTATTCTACTTAGTGATGATTCAGACAGTAGAAAAGAATTCTTAGAGTACAACAATTGTTAACTAATATAAAACTATTAGCTAAAAACTAATTTAGATGAAAAACTTTCAGTTCCATGTTATTTCATCTCCTGGTATTGATTTTAACTCATTATTAAAGTCTAACCATATATATCATAGATTACTCTTAACCTCACTTATAGGTAAGTTTAATGCATAGGTTTTTAACTTAAAAACTGGAGAGAGAAATGAACCTACTTATCTTGCATAATTTAAAGCCTTCTATTTAGGAAACCTTAGGCTAGCATAATACTTAAAAATGTGGTCTATAGGGGCTGAAACCCTGTGTTCAAATCTTGATTCTGCCACTTGCAGGTAGTGTGAACTATTTAGTCACTCTATTTAATCACTCCATGCCTCAGTTTCTTCATCTGTAAAACTAATACAGATTAAGGAAGGTAACACATGCAAAACACTTGGCACAGAGTCATCAATACTTGTTAGCTCACACTGTCATTCCGAAGTGGAACACAGCATGCTTTAGATCCGGCCTATGTTTGTTACTGAGAGAAATGATGCCTCATCTGGCTCTATTAAATGTGACAAATGTCTACATGAAGGGAGTTGAATAAAGACCTGAATATGTTGTTGTGCATGCCAAAAGACTTTTGTTGATTGGAAAAACATACGCTCAGGTGATCTGTAAAAGAATGGAGATCCTATACTACATTCTCTCAAAATGCCCTCAGTGATTCAGCATTTCCATGCAACACCTGGTGCTTATCACAAGTGCCTCCTTAATCCCCACCACCTGTACAACTCATCCGCCATCCACCTCCCCTCTGGTAATCACTAGTTTGTTCTATTTTTTTTTTCTTTTTTCTTTTTTTTTTTAGTTTGTTCTCTTAATTAAGAGTCTGTTTCTTGGTTTGCTTCCCTCTCTCTTTTTTTCCCCTTTGCTTATTTCCTAAATTCCAAAAATGAGTGAAATCATACGGTATTTGTCTTTCTCTGACTCATTTCACTTAGCATAATACTCTCTGGCTCCATCTACGTTGTTGCAAATGGCAAGATTTCATTCTTTTTTACGACTGAGTAATAGTCCATTGTGTATGTATGCCACATCTTCTTATCCATTCATCACTCTATGGACATTTGGGCTCTTTCCATAGTTTAGTTATTATAGATAATTCTGCTATAAACATTAGGGTGCATGTATCCCTTTGAATTAGGGTTTTTGTATTCTTTGGGTAAACACCTAGTAGTGCAATTGCTGGGTTATAAGGTAGTTCTATTTTCAACTTTTTGAGGAACCTCCCTACTGTTCTCTGGAATGACTGCACCAGTTTGCACTCTCACCAATACTGCAAGAGAGTTCCCCTTTCTCCACATTCTTGCCAACATCTTTGTTTCTTGTGTTGTTAATTTAAGCCATTCTGACGGTTGTGAGGTGACATCTCATTGTAATTTTGATCTGTATTTCCCTGATGATGAGTGATGTTTAGTATCTTTTCACGTGCCTGTTGGTCATCTGTATGTCTTCTTCCCATTTTTAAATTGGATTATTCATTTTGGGATTGTCGAGTTTCATAAGGTTTTTATATATTTTGGATACCGACCGTTTACAGGTGCCATTTGCAAATATCTTCTCTCATTCCATAGGCTGCCTTTTTGTGTTGTTGATTGTTTCCCTCTGTGCAGCTTTTTATTTTGATGTAGTCCCAATAGGTTATTTTTACTTTTGTTTCCCTTGTCTCAGGAGACATATGTAGCAAGAAGTTGCTATGGCTGATGTCAAATGGGTTACTACTGCCTGTGTTCTCCTGTAGGATTTTTACAGTTTCAAGTCTCACATTTTGCATTTATTTTTGTGTTGGTGTAAGAAAGTGGTCCAGTTTTATTCTTTTGCATGTTGCTATCCAGTTTTCCCAACACCATTTGTTGAAGAGACTGTCTTTTCCCGTTTAATATTCTTTCCTGCTTTGCCAGTGTTTAATTGACCATATAGTTACGAACTCACTTCTTTAAACCTAGTGTAATTGTCTTGGGTTATTAGATCATAACAGACAACTTAAAACTCTTATTTGTCTTTTTATGAGTATCTATATAACCAGGTTTAAAAAAAAAATCTAAGAATCTTGAATCATGTTTAAAATTTTTAAAAATAGTCTTCCACAACCAGCCCAGATCTTGACTTTGTAATAGACATTCATCCAATATTCTGCCCTTATTATTCTATAATACCAGAATTCTGTCTTAAACACAAAAAAATTTCAACATAAGTCCAACAGGGAATATTTAATGTAATTAAGCGCTTACAGTTTTGCTGTCAGAGAGATAAGCAATTAGCAGAAAGTTACGGTAATATTTACAAAAATATATCATTACTAAAAAATTAGAAATATGTATGAGGTTGCTTAACTTAAAGGGAATAAAAAATTGTTAGGCGATTGACATGTGGTGAGCTATCAGGTAGTTGATAAACATATTTTTTTATACCAAAATCCTATAATATTAAAAGAACAGACAATCAAAGATGAACTCAAATGAGACATTTAACAAAATAAGAAATAACAGATCTGGGAATCATTACGTTGATCACACCTCAGCACAGATGAAAGATTACTATCATTGCCAATGCAATCAATTTTTGGTAACACTTAATATACCAGTGCTACTCTAAAGGATGTCTTTTATGTCCAGGAACATTTGTAGAAATAGTTCCTGCTCTGTGGTCCCAAGAGGCAATTGCCCATGCAGTAATTTGAGCACTGTGTTCTTAGCACTATGCCATAGACTGTGGAGGATGGAAGAGGCAGCTAAATATCATTCTTGTCTTCAAAGAACTTACTCTCTGGTAGGAAAGGCAAGCTTATGGACAGTCCAAACAGTACATGATAACAATACATAAATCAAGTTAGTGCATTGAGGTCACAGCCATCCACTTACACAGATCAAGGTTGGAATGTGAAATGATTTTGTAGGAACTGTCTAGCCTTTGGCCTATGCAAAACTGAGAAGTAAGTGAAAGTTACCTTTGATATTCATGCATCTTTCTAAGAGATTTCTTTCTATTGCTGGTGGAATAGATGTTTCTCCAGGGTCCTGTGGTTTTGGGAAGCTGCCTATTCCCTACTCTTCGTATACCCTGCTACGAGAACATCCTCAAGAGTCTTATTACTGACTGAATCTGTTTTGTCTGTAACTTCAAATTCAGATGGTATCTTGAGGGAATAGTGTCTTGGGCAGAGACAATAATACCTTCACCTATCCCTCAACTCTCAATGGAGTGAGGAAATAATGACATGGGATCTCATCTGTAAAAGTCTGCCCTCCCTTTGGTGCACAATTAATAAATGCTGAGTGGTGGGATTCTGAGTAGAAATTCCATAAGGATTGTAGAAGAGGAAAATTAATGACTCTAAAGTGGTAGATCCATTTCTATTCATTTCTCACCAGATGGCATCATTGTCCCAGCTCCACAAAGTAGAACCGAGGAGTCATTCTTGATGTGTCCCTCTAGCCTCCTGTGTCACCAAATCCTCTTAATCTTTTCTTATATGTGTCTTTTGGGAATCCACCTCTTTCCTTTCTCTTCATCTTGATTTATATAGCAGCTGAACTTTTCGGGTTTATTTGTGAGATTGTAAGCTCCATGAAAGCATGGATCTTTTCTGATTTCCTCCCATCATTGTATCTCAATTATATAAAAATAATATATATTTGATCAATAAATAAATGAGTTAGAAGTTGCACTAGACCTTAAATCTTTGTATATTTGGACAAAAAAATGAAAGGAAAATAATAATTATAAAAGAATAAACATAAGCCAAAGGATAAAAGAAAGAATTAATATGGCTTACTCATAGGCCCAAAATAAGATTGACTAGAGCTAAAGGTGGATTTGGGAAAGTAAATGGTAAATAACCTTCTATAGAAGGCACAGGGTCAGATTACAGAGGCAACAGAGTTTATGCTTGCTCTCGTAGGAAAGTGGAGATTTTCAAGCATTGTCAAGATAAACTGGAAGGAGAACTTAAATACGTGCTAGTTGAAACGCAAAGCCAGTTTTAATTCAGATGTGATATGACGGGGACTTAGACTTGGGAGAGAGAAGGAGAGATTATGAGGGAAAGGTCTAGAAAAGGAAACAAAATATTTTAAAGAAAAAGAACTTGGGCTGTGGTAAGTGAATGTGGGGTATAGATATAAGTCTCTTCATTCACAATTTTTTAATGAATCCCTCTAGACCTATTTTTATGTAGCAACTTCCAGATCCACTTAATATGTAGTTATTTTTAGTAATATTTATGTTTATTATAGAAAATAAAATATGAAAAAGTGCTCCAAACCAGGGTGTCTCAACCTTAGCACTACTGATGTTTTAGATTGGAAATTCTTTATAATGGGGGCTGTCCTGTGCATTTTGGGGACTTTAGCAGCATCCCTGGCCTTTCCCAATAGATGCAGAAGCACCCACCTATCCACCTGTGACAGCCGAAAATGTTCCCTGGTAAGGAGGAGCAAAATCTCCCCATTAGAGAATCACTGCTCTAAAAGTATATAGTTTTAGAAAGTACACAATATCATCATTGTAATATTTATTATCACATAACAAACATTTTCATCTCATTTCAGAAACTGATACCTTTGTTAGGGAAAATCCTTTGTTAAATGTAAACATTATTTTTGAAGAGATTTTTAGAATGGAAGGTGTAAATTTTTAAATGTACTTACATTGAGTTCTAAAACTTTTCCAAGACAATCAATCAGCAATGATATAAGCATGGCTACAGTAATGATAACCACTGTTACAATAATGTGGAAGACCAACGAAAGATTCCCACCAAAAAACACATTGGTAATTACCTGCCAAATAAACACATTATTTAGAGAGGGAGTCTCAGAGGCATGCAGGACTTATCAAGAAAGTATATCATATTATAGCACTCAGGACTGTATAAAAAACTACCAGTAAGACAGTCAGTCAAATCTTAAGCCATATGAATGTCCTATCTTTTCCAAAGTACTTACACATAGACAAACACACAATTCAATAACAAGTATTCTTTGTTGAATTATTAGACAGGCAACAGATTACAGACCCAAAACATGGTATATAATGTGTGAAAAAACATATTTCTCAAGTGTAAGAAAGATCTTGGGAAGTTACCTTATGAGGTATTTGAACCCAACAAGAAACATTGATGCTATTTAGATTATTTGAGTGAGAGGAGACTGAAGAGAATCAACCAATCTAAGAAAACAAATAGTGATCAATTTGTGACTGGATAAAAAAGATCAAATAGAATTTAGAACTAGAAGGAGCTTTAGTTACCTAGGTCCAACTTTCTTTAATCAGTTTTATAGCAATCCTGAAATGTCCTTGTCCTACTTTGGCTTGAGGTAAGGTTTGAAACATGGGTAGGATTTAGAGCAGAATTACAGACTGAAGTAACAGTGTGAAAAGAGCAAAAGAGGAAAGAAGAACAGGAAAGATACCTATGAAAGACAAAAAGGAGACAATCTGAATAGGGTTGACTGTGCAAGAGAACCCTGAGACAAGAGTTGGAAATGGTAGAAGGTCAGATGCTGGGGACCTTAATGAAACCAACTCTGCAAGCTGTTACTTACCCAACATTCCTCACAGACTGCACAGACCGCTAACAATTACCCTGCTAACAATTACCATGAATAGTAATAAATTTTACTCATTTATGGTTTTGCAATGGGTGATATTTTTCAGGTATTTAAAATTCATTCTTATAGAAGCCTCTAATATATGATTATAATAGTAGAAAATCACTGAGTGTGGCAGACTGGTGAGAGATACTCATTAGTGGTATGGACAGGATTTTTGGTGTCCTTGTATGTGGCTGGCTACTTTACCTACAAGTAGAAATGGCTTTGACTGTGTTTATACTAAGTGTGTGTGTGTATGTGTATGGGGGGGATAGAAAGGAGAGAAAAAGGAAGTGAATGAGTAAAGTAGATTTGAGATTCCTCTGCCTAGTATTTGCTACCATGGAAGAGATCTTTATTTAGTTCTATCTTCCCATCAATCACGGCAGCTGGAGAGGAAACAAGTTCCAAGGACTAAAGATATAAGCTGTGCAGGTAGAGTGACTCAGGTGGTCACCAGAAACCACATGAGAATGTACCATCTGTTAAACGCTGATCTACAGATCAGATCTGAGCCCAAAGTACTGGGCAGAAGCTAAAATAAAACCATTTCCTGCATCCAACAAGAGCGATAAAATTTCAAGGTTCTTAGATTTGAAAAGTCTTCATAAAATTTAGTCTACTTCTCCCGTAATACTCAAGGTGGAGAACTGGCCTGTGAGTTAGACATTTGTAGGTGAGGACAAGTGCTAATTGTAAAAGGATATACAGAGTGCTGAACACTTCCTTATTCCACTTCCCTGAGCAGTTCCTTACCCCCAGAACTGGCATAAGGTAAGCACTGGTCTTTCTCTAGAAGCCCTATGGTTAGTTAGCGGATTTAAAGCTCTGTAGGCATTTCACTTCACACATTAGACCCATTCACATGGTGCACTGTGTAAATAGCCTCTAGGAATAGATCCTAAACTAAGCCCTTTTCAGTGTGATTGCTGAAAGAACCACTGTGAAGCAGGATCATGCTTTTTCTGCTGACTGGTACAGTGGATTTTTCACTGACTGTATAAGGGATTCCCGACAAGCCATGTTCTCCAGCTTTACACAAAAAGAATGAGTTCTTTTTCACTTAATCTTCCTTCAAAAATCCATACATATAGTACAAATACATCACAAATACATATATATGAAATATACTATGTCTATTATTTTACATGGTATAAAAATATAAATATATTTTATAAATATATAAATGAAATATATCTGTAAAACTAGTGGTTTAAGTTAAATTTTGGTTTTCCATTGACAATAAGGCATTTTAGTTTTTTCAGAATAACAAAACCGATCAAAATCTGTTCAAAGGATGATTTTGTAAAAAATGTTTTTAATCTTAGTACTTAATTTCTTTGTAAGAATATTTTTAAGAAAGAATAACTTAGTTTGGCTCTATTAAAGGCTGGCATTCATTTTGGAATGCAGTTGTATAAATATTTATACTTATGCTAATATAAACTAAACCACCAAACATCATCTTAAAATTCAACATTTGAAAAAAGTAATTTGTAAACATGTGAATATAAATTGTAAATGTTTAACTTATATGACTTGCCATGCACTTGTGAATATGCAGAATTAAATTATTTACAAATCTTCCTAAATTAAACGTAGTAAGAGGGATTGACTAGGTAAAATGTTAGAAAGGAATTGTGCTTACCTCTCTAGTCACAAAGCATTCAATAGGGTACGTTAAAATGACAGTGACTGCATAACAGAACCTTCCGAATGTTACCAAATCATCATTTCTGCAATAGTTTTCAAATAAGTCTCCTAGAGAATAATATAAAATAGATGAATTTCAACAGAATATTTGAAATAAATATCTAACAAATCAGATATTAGATATTTATTATATAAGTGGAGCTCCATGAACTCCATTTAATTAATAGAATAGACTGCCAAGTCTAAATACACATTTTTTTTTCAGCAACTATACATACTGATAACACTTTCAATAACTTCTCAATATTTTTAATAACTATACATACTGATAATAATATCCTGATATTAAAACTAGTATATGTTCCACGTGAAGATGAATTAATCAGTGACAGTTTTTCTCTTACTCTCAGTTTGTTTTTAGTAGATCTGCCTTAAATTTGTATCAACTTCTGGAAAATACTTTCATCCATTGTCTTCTGACACCTGAATCAACTCCCTAAATTCTTGTGCATTAGCTTTATAAACTTGCTTCTGGTCTTTGTTTCTGGCAAATAAGTGACTTCGTTATTAAAAAAAAAAAAAAAAAAGTCTGTTAAAATAAACAAATTTCCTTTTGAAATGTTATTCTTAGATCAAGGGCAATCCTGAAAGGAAGAGTAGACCAGTACATCTGGGGAGCTGAATTTCCTGTAATCATGCTATCGGGTTTAATCCCAGACCCAGGGCCACAGTAAGGATTCACCTTTTATGGTATCTGACATGTACCCGAGTGCAAGTGCACTGATACAAAACTGTAAAAATATGTTTATTTCTGAGGAAAAGCATTATATTTAATTAGTTCCAAACTAAACAATGGACCATGTACACCTTGAATCAATTCTTTTTTTAGAGACTCTATTTTCTCAGATATCTATGAAGAAATGGAGGGATCTGATGAGGGTCCAAAAGTCATGTCAGCAAAAAGTTTCCCAATACTGAAACAAACACTATTTGGGCTTATTTATTTCCTAAATATAACACACTTACATTTTAAAATTTGGGTCATATTTTCCAGTTAGACTGAAGAAAAAGTCAGATCAAAGTCACATAGTACTTCAATGTTTAAGAAGAAAACAAAACTATACTTCTGTTCTTTTTTTTTTTTTTTTCATTAAAAAGTTAAATGACGCCCTCTGCCAAGACTTACTTTAATGACTCTTCTCCCCTCCCCCTATAAATTGGAACCAATGTACATTACTTTCTAGGGTCCCTTTGGGGCAGAAAGGGATTAAACCACAAAGCAGTCCTGACAGAGACCTGCTTCAAGGTTGACTGAAAAAATTTTACCACTCAGAGAAGAGGACAGAAGGTCTCTGATCACCAACGTTCACTAAAAAAAATGGATCCTACACCTTTTCCAAAGGGACTGAGAATGTCAAGAACATCCTCGACTTCTTTACTGCCTAACAAGCTAAAATTTATCTACTAAAAGGGAAAAGAAAAAAAGCATGCAGTTTGCACAGGTAAGACCAGATTTGCCCAAAATGAAATGGCCTGAAGAAACAATGTCAAGTTTATTCCAGCTTGCGTCTAAGTATATCTTTGGGAATTACAGCTAAGTTAAAAAACTCAAAAAAAAAAAAACAAAAAAAAAAAACAAAAAGGCCAAACCAAAACCAACCTGTCAGCTTTGTTATATAAAGATTTAATTGTATCTACGCAATTACCACCGATAACACCACCAGGAAGGTTTTAGTAAGAAAGAGGGTTTATGTCTTACAGGGAAGGCATTTAAAAACCAAGATTTTGTACAGACTGGCCCCTACAGGCCATTCACCTTGGCAAATGATGTAGCAATAGTGATACATGGCTGTATTTTGAAACATAATTTTTACCAAGACTTTCACAGTCACTTTATTGCTGCACTCAAATGGCACATATACAGATTATATTTTCGATGGCACTGGAATTATGTTAAACACTGTTTTGAAGCCGTTTTTACTTTTTTCTTTATTTCTTGAGAAATCTCTGCCTATAATCATAGTCATCTGTAACTATTTGAAACAATACACCCAAGAGTACCTCGTATCATATGAAAACTAAGTGAAGAGGAGCTTGAGGGTAAGAGACAGCTTTTAATGGGTTGCACTTGACCAAAGTAGGTTAGACAGCAAGAGAGAGTGGAACAAAAAATTGAACTGGAAGTCAGGAGACTTGTTTTCTACTTTGTCACCAGCCAGCCTGGGCAAGTTTCTTCACCGCTTTGTGTTTTAAGCAGGGGGTAAAACTAGTTATTCCACTTACCTTCATAGGGTTGTTTCAAGGTCAAATGAGATAATAGACCGGCAAAAGCTGTGACATGTCTGAATCACAGCATTTAGTGGGCTGTCAGATTACCCTGGGTATTATACTACACAGAGAAGTGAGTGCACAGGTCAAAGGAAGCAGAAGAGATAGCCACTCCGCTGTTGGGCCTGGGTGAACAGGGGAAAGAGAAATAAATTCAGTGTGGGGTGGTGTGTTGGAGGAGAGGGGGAGGGGTGGGGCTGGTTTTGTGGGAAAGATGATGTTTTGTGCTTAAAGCAAGAATGGGATAACTCAGTAGGAATGTCCTGCAGGCAAGAGGCTGGAGATGAAAAGAAAGGTCTGGACTAGAGTTTAAAACAATGACAATCTCCAGAGAATTTGTTGAGAGAAAAGAAGGCAACTTGTCTGAGCCAGTTAATGGAAGGTGGGGGAAGAAGAGGAGAGAAGGTAGGAGAAAGAAAATATTAACAGAGTGAATGATGATATGGCAGTGCTCCTTCTTCTATAGGAGGAAAGATAGGACGTTCAGAACTGTCATGTGATTCACAGAGATGCATGAGAATCAGAACCAAGAAGATTATTCACTTTGAAGAGTGGGAGAATGCTGGCGTTTCTGAAAGTGAAGCTGCAGTAGAGCAGTGGAGAGGGAAGCCAGATTTCAAGTGCTTTTAAGTGAAACAATGGAAGAAGAGAGTTGAAAAGGGAGAAAACCAAGAAAACAGAAACAGCACAGGTGGGAAGGTAGAGGAGAGAATGGATAAAAGAGATTAGTGATACGCTGAAGTAGAACACTGGGTATAATTGTGCCCTAAATGAGAAGTGACAGAACCACTCCACGAGTAACAAAATATAATGACAACCGAATCTCTCATTTTACCTTGGGTGAAGCCAGTAAAGGTCAAGTATCCACATGTAGCAAAGAGAGTACTGATGAGTACAGAAGCCAAGGTGGACATGTGGATGATGCGGGACCACTTAGCTACTGTGGGGTCTTCCAAAGAACCATAAACTAAGAAGCAGTTATGGTGGCAAATGAATGCTGCAATACAAAAAAGAAAAAAAAAAAAGAGCACCATTAAAGCAAGTGTTACTGGATTTCCTTCTCCTTCGGGGCCCACGGTGTCACAGGGCTTCGAAGAAAGAAGAGGTAGATCAGAGTGGTGGGCAGCAGCAAAGCGAGGTTTATTGAGCAACAGCAATGTGAGAGTACAAAGCTCTGAGGACAGCAGGACCCAAGAGGATTGCCATTAGAGTTTCTAAAGCTATAGGGGTTTTTATGGGCTTGTTGGAGGGCTGTTTTAATCTGATTAACCCTCCCGGCACCTGTCATCCAAGCACATTTTTGTCATCTACCTATCACATGGGAAAGGGTGGAGGGCTCCTTCCACCGTGGTGTAAGATCCTTTTAAGGGTGGTTTCTTCTTAGAGCAGGGGCCCCCTGTCCCTGCCTGCCTGCTTTCCAACTGTCCTTCATCACAAGCACTAAGATTCTCTTTTTTCCTCCAAAAATTCAGAGATGTATGGGAGTTTGGAATGCTACTGAACTGAAGTTCAAATACATAAATTTACTAGCTCTGTCAGAAAATAACTTTTTTAACAACTGTAGGAATGAGAAATTTCACTCATGTTAGACTTATGTGGTCTCTTCCTGTCACTCTTGATACAAACCAGTTCTATCCAACTTTCTCTCCCATTTTCCGTTTCCTGGTGGCCTTCCAATCTTAAGGGAAATCTAAACAACACTATATTTTCCGTCCATGGCTTCCTTTCCAATCTGGGATATAACAGAGTAGCTTTAGACATCTGGCCAATTTGTAATACCTTGTGTGCAAGGTTTTAAATAAGCATATAACACTTGCTAGATTTTCAGTTAAAAAACAAGATGACCATAATGAGTTTTCTGCATGAGAAAGAGACTTGTCCAAATTAAATCAAATTTTAGTGATGAGTGAGAAAAGTTTGAGCCTAATTTTATGTTGGCACAAACTAGATCATATGCTGCTAATAGGAAGTATAAAACTTTGACATCTGCTTTCCAGACACAAATATGAAACTTTTTCATTATACAGAAGATTCCATATTGAGAAAGGGCCTGTGAAATCATACACTCACCGAATGACATCACACCAAGAGCCTGAATGGCACTGGGCTTTGCAAATACCCAAGCATCTTCTGTTTTTGGTCTAGAAGATAAATCAGGTAATTTAACGAATGAGCAAACAAATGCAAGCCTAAGCATGTCAGAGAACAAGAAATGGTGTCACAATAAAAACTGAGTATCTTTAAGTCAGAATTAATAAGGGGTCCCCATTAATTTTCTTTAATTATAAATAATTTCCCAGGAACATGCATGTTATGGTTCCCTCGGGTCCTCTAAAATGCATGCCAAATACTTGGGAAGACTTTATTCTTACATATTTAAAATATCCACTGACTACTTAATTTTATGATTTTTTTACTCACCGATTTAACAACAAACATTTGTTATGCACTCATCCTTGAAGATACTGATTGAGGGAGATACAAAAATTAATAATGCAATGTTCCTCCTCAGCTAATCAATACATCCTTCATTCCCCTTTAACTTATTCTCCAGGCTCATCCTACCTCAGGGAAATTCATAGTTGCCACTACAGTTTACTAAAGAGGGTAGACATGAACTAATATTAACTGAATATTAACTTAACTATATTATTATATATAATATAATATTAACTAAACATTAACTTAACTATATTCTGGGAATTATCTTATGATTTCTCAATCTTCACAGTAACACTCAAATATTATTGTCACTATTTAATACATTAGGAAAGTTAAGCTCTGGGTGGTGATAAAATTTGTCAAGCTTCCACAGATAATAAGTGAAGCTGAGATTTGCTGTCTGTCCCAGTATCTCTTTCACAGTGAACTTTCAGTGACCTCAAATTCCCACCTGTGGAAATAGTTCTCAAAGATATTTTGGAAATATATGAACTTTAAATTATCTGAACATTCTATTTCTTAGTGGAATTAAAATACTTGCCAACCTGTCTGCTGGCAGAGATTGGTCTCCCTGGTTAACGTATCCCTGAATAACGGTGAAGAGTCTAGGTTCTGAGATCAGACAGCCTGTGTTAGTTTTCTGTCCCCTTCCACCTATTAGCTGTGTGATCTTAGGCAAGTTATGAAACTTTCTGTGCTTCAGTTTTGATATCTATAAAATGACAGTAATAATAATAGTACCTAATCCATTGAGTTATTGTGTGAATTAAATGAGATAAAATATGTAAGATTTCTGAAAGAGAGACTTACATATTATAGTCAGTGTTTAATAACTGGACACTAATATTATTAGCTCATTATTATTATTATTCATTGTCATTTAATAAAAGTAGACAAAATGGCTAAAATATGTCCAGCTTCCATGAAAAGGAAAGGCTTGAGTGAAACCCAAAAGAATATATTAAGATAGAAGAGGGGAAAAGGGGAAGAAGGGCCACAGAAAGCATAAAGGCAATAGGTGTAAACCCACCTATTTCATAAGTTTGTCAGTCATTCTCCAAGTAAAACAGACACACAAAAAAGTCTCATTTGCTTTGTCAAAGTTAGTGGGATTTATGCATTGTCTTATTTCCCTCTCTCCCCCCCATATTTGAAATGCGCAGTTACAGGCACAAAAGAACTAGCTCGCCTGTGAGGGAGGCCTCAGGCTGCTCTAAGACTTGTGATTCCCAGTTTTTTGAGTGGGAGCTGCTGCCACCTGCTGCCTCCACTATTCTTACTGCAGTGAACATGAACTGATAAGAGCACCTGTCAAATTCCAAGGTTATTATGGAAAACCACAGACTTTGTTCACGATCTTTAAAAAAAAAAAAAAAGATTCAGAAAAGCAAGCAGCACTAAAAACTACAGAAACTTGGAAGATTGTAAGCTTTTTAATATGTTTTAAAATATCTACTTTCTCTGTTAGGGTATTTGCACATGATTAATACTCATTTTTCCCTTAAGTACAGATTATAGTGGTGTCCTACTTTTAAACTCATTTATTAGTAATGAAAATGTAGGAGTTTGATTTTCATTTTTCTTCCTCCATTCAAGTTTTTAAACTCTTTCCTGTCCATATATTGCACTGAATATATTCCAAGATGGAGTATGAACTGGTACATAGAGACAATTTTGAATTTTTTTGTGTTTACCTTAATGATGCTGATTTTATGATTTATTTGTTTATTCATTTATTTTATTTTTGAGAGAGAGAGAGAGAGAGCAAGTGACTGGGCGGGGGCAGGGGACAGAAGGAGAGGGAGAGAAAATCTTAAGCAGGTTCAACGCCCAGCACAGAGCTTGACTGAGCACTAGATCTCACCACTCCTCAGATCTTGACTTGAGCTGAAATCAAGTCATATTTTTAACCAACAGAGCCACCCAGGTACCCCGATGATGCTGATTTTATAAGATAGAAAATAATAAAAAAAGATGCTGCAGATAGGAAAGGATGTGCATCCAAATCTAGGGCAAGGGACATTAAATATGGCTTTCTGATATTTTATAAAATAGCCTGAAATTAGAATTAGTTGCAGAATCAACTAGCTACACACACACACATGCACGCGTGTGAAAGAGAAAGAGAGAGAGAAGAGAGTGTAAGTGTGTGTCTAAGTTTCTTGACATATTTAGAGATTTCTGGAAACTTGATACCCACAATGATTGAGAAAATGAAGTTATATACTGCTCTGATTTTAGACTACAGATGCTGAAACACAAAATGAAATATCAAATGCAATAAGCAGTGTGTAAGAGAAAGTCATGAACTAGGCAGAGTTTTTAAAGTAAATGCAAAGGTTGTTCAATAACAGAAAAATCTATTAATGCAATTCATCTCATCAACAGATTAACTGAGAAAAAATGCTTATGTGCTTTCAAAATATGTAGAAGAGCCTACAATCTAGTATTTACTTTGAAAAAACATGCTAAGCAAGCTATTAATAAAATAGAACTTCTTTAATCTGATAGGAATATCTCCAAAATCCATAGCAAATGATACATTTATAAGTGAAAATTTAATGTGCTATGGTGAGTGCTGTGAAGTGTGTAAACCTGGTGATTTACAGACCTGTACCCCTGGGGCTAATAATAATATGTTTATAAATAATAAAAAAATTTAATGAATAAAAAAATAAAGTAAAATAAAAAAGTGAAAATTTAGAAATATTACAATTAAAGGTGGAAATCAAATAAGGATGTTTACTATCACTGCTTCCAGACTATATTACAGGAATTCCTAGTTAATGCAATAAAATAAGAAGTGATAAGATACTTAATCATTGGAAATGGATAAATAATTTGAACACAACAGAATTGTGTACACAGAAAATTCAGGGGAATTTACTGACAAGCTACTGGAATTAATAAGAGTATTTAGCAAGGTTACTGGATATATGAAATATATATATTTGATACATGAAAATCAATATGGTTGAGGTACATAAATAATAACCAATTAAAATGTTTTTTAAATGGCAGTGGTAATAAAAACACTACATATTTTAAAAGATATGCATAATTGTAATGGCATGATATAATTGTATAGAAAGACACGTATAAATGAAAGGATATACCGTATCCATATTTATGAATAGGAGGACTCAATATCATGTAGATGTCCATTCTCCACCAAATTAATATTTAAATTCAAAGAATAAAATATGATATGCAAAGAGAAAATATATGTTTTTAAAAAACCCATAAAAGCAACATAAAAGTAAGGATTGATAAACCTGATAATGTTTGTATAGTAAAATAATCCATATACAAAGTTAAAATATAAAGATAAGCTAAAGACTTGGAAATGAAATTTGTCATGCATAGAAGATACTCCAATAAGCAATGAACAAGAGACAATTGACAGAAAAGGAAATGAGAATGGTCAATAATTATGCTATAAGTTGCTCACTTTCCTTTATAATCAGGGAAACTCAAATGAAATCCATAAAGACATTTCACAGTTAATTCAACAATAGCAAAGTTGATAAATTGCTGGGAAAGGACAACTTGCAATTATTATGGAGGGAACTATAAATTATAAAACACTTAGGAGAAGAGTTTGATAGTATCTAGTAAAGCTGAAGGTACTTGAAGCTTGCAAGCAAACAATTACGATTCTACATATATATTCTAGGCTAGGAAAGCACACGTGTGCACACAAAGATATGGATAAGCATGTTCACTAGTGCATTGTTTATATTAGCCAAACTTTGGAAACTACCTCAACTTTAAGCAAAGAATTGATAAATCAATCCATAAGTAAAACATGATATAATCATAAAATTGTGTCTTATGTGCAGTTAAAAAGTCACTCAGTGCTAACTGTATCAAAATGGAAATATATGGCATACAATACTAAAGGAAAAATGATGAGTTATAGAAGAGAATGTGCATTTTTTTGCCAGAGTGTTTATTTATGTATATTTCACAAACATACTAATTAATACTAGATATTGTTGTCAATACATAAATGCATAGTACTAGTATAAGAGCATAAACAGAAATGATTTAAACCAATTTAAGAATAATAATTACCTCTAGGGAAAGAGAAATGGATTGACTTTTAAATATGATAATCTATTACTGATAAATATTGAAGTAAATATAGAAAATTATTTCAAAAAGACGTAGCCCAATTTCCGCTTCCTGAACTTTATAGGATTATACAATATTTTCTACATAAAACCTTTCTGGATCTGAACCTAATTTTTAGCCTTAAATTTCCATAAATACTCTACGGATACTACATTCCTCCTGCTTTCCAATCTCTTGTTCAATTCATTCAATATTCAACAAGTATTTGTTGACCACTACCAATGTAGCAATCACTGTTATAAATCACTGAGGCTACTGCAGAAAAAAAGACAAAAGAAAGAAATCAACTATCTTGGAGTATATTCTGTATCATAATCTAGAATAGCACCGTATAATAGTGCTTTCTGTGATGATGGAAATATTCTATACCTTTGACATCCCATATGGTTACTATTAACCACATGTGGCTCTTGAGCCATGCCTTTGAAATGATGGCTAGTGTGACTGAGGAATTAATTTTCTTTTTTAAGATTTTATTTATTTATTTGAGAGAGAGAGAGAATGAGCAGTGGGGAGGGGCAAAGGAAGGGGAAGAGAAAAAGAGAGAGAGAAGGAAGCAGAC